GTTTCTCTGATAACCATTTTTTGTTTTAAAATAATGATTACAAAAACTTGGACATTAAGTCCTCGCATGACGTTGGCCTTGCTTTAGTGCTTTGCAGCGGCCTCCTGATAAGGGCTTTAATGCTTAATTAATAAATTACATAATAGGGGCAAACCTTTGAATTAGATACCAGGAGTATAACTGTGCTAACAAGGGAATTTACCAAACCAACAGATTTCAGAGTTACTGAGTTTAGGCAAGTCTTATGTGAAAAGTGTCTGATTGGTATAACTCAAGCTTTTGTGGGAATACAGAGACATGACACCTAACTCAGTCTTGGGTTGTTTGAAGCAAGAAGAGAGACCTGAATGTAATTCTGTTATTAAAAATGTTATACAAAACACCATACTGAAATATATTTATATATGTTAACATATATCAATCACCTATTCATCCTTTGAGACCTTATACAAAGCTGACCCCCTCTTTTGGGCTCTCTTCACTTTGTAGAGACAGTTACAGACTCTTCCTGTTACTGCCATTGTCCCTCGTCACCACTTTTACAGCATCCAGCCTACGTTGTCTTTTAACTTATTGGTCACATGCCAGTTGATTTCTCCTGTGCCTCAAGTTCCTTGTAAAGCAAAACAAAATCATGCTTTACTCATTTTTACATCTACAGTGCCCAGTGTGCACCTTGACACATTATAAATGTAAAATCCATTTTTGTGAGTTAGTTAATAAGATAAAATAACAACAACAACAACAACATGAAGTACTTACTATGGGCCAGGTGCTTTAGGCATTGGAGGTTAAGGCTGGGGGAAAAAATTCTTCAAAACTTATATCCTAATGATAAACTAATATATAAATAAACACAAGACCAATTAATGATACATGCCATGAAAAATATAGACGGCTAAGAGAACAGAACATGATAGAAGCTTCTATTGGAGATTGATGGTCAGAAGAAGCCTCCCTGAGGAGGTAATATCTTAAGTAGAGACCTGAGTTAAGTACAGGATCAAGCTGTCTTATGGAAGAGAATTCCAAACAGAGAGACAAGCCAACTTAAAACTCGAGGAAGAACATGCCTCGAATATTTTAAGACACAGCAAAGAAGGCCAGCGTGGCTGGAGCTTGATGAGGAAGAAGGAATGTGCTAGGAGATGGAACTGGCAGATGTTATTGGGCCAGATCACATTTGGCCACAGTAAATTTGGATTTTATTCTTAGTGTGATGGGTGGCTAAATGTTGAGTTTTGAGCCAGAGAATAACATGATCTGATTTATCTTTGAAAGAACCATTCTGTCTATTGTGTAGAAACTTATGGAACAAGAGTAGAAATAGTTAGAAAGCGGTTATTCTTGTCTGGATGAGAGAAGATACACCTTGGACTAGTATTGACTGAATAATTTGGGAATTGCTGGGAATAGGAACTAGTGACATAAATTGTTAGACTAGTAAGCCTCCACTTCTAATATAAGTTGTTAAAATTTAAATAAGTAAGGGACATGCATTTAAGTGCAATAATGTACTGGGAAATAAAGGGAGTGGTTTCTGGCCTTAATTCTCCTTCCATGGGGCTGTGTGGTCTTAGGGGAAGTCTTTCACTTTCTGTAGGACTCAAGTTTTTAAAATAAAAATGAGAGTTTGCATTTTTTTTGTTTCTACTTATGATTAAATTTAAAAAATCAAATGTGTATTACATATTTACTATGTACATATTAATAAGACACTTGAGTGGCTTGAAAATTGCTATTTAGAAAAATTTTTTAAAACATATTACTCATATCACTTGCTCATTGCCATGAAGTCAGTTCTAACTCATAGTTAGAACTATAGTGGGTTTACAAAGTTATAAAATTACATAAGAGGGACTGCTGTCTTCTCCTGAGGTGTGGCTGGTTGACTCAGATCACCAGAAAAGAGACTTTAACTTAGGAATGCAAGTTTTTATGGACAGTGTTGCCAGACCTTCCTATTATCCACCTGTGAGATTATAAATTTAAATGCAATAATGCGTACTATCAAGAATGGGCTAATTAATAAAGATTAAATTAAGGAATACAAATATTTGACATGAGACTACATAGGATTTAATTTAATGGATAGAGAATATCATGCTAGACAGAGAAAACATGAGGAAATAAACCTTAATGAACATAATGTGACATGACTTTATGAGGGATGAAGATTCAGTCAATAAACAGACCTATCTGACTACATAAGAAGATGTGTGAACAATAGGAAAATATAATTAGCCAGATAGAATAAGGTGGCAAGATAGGAGGCATTTCAACCTAGACAGAAATGTTTCCATTTAAAACAGAGGAACACTGGGAACCATTTATAGGTTTTTCAGTAGAAAACTGTTGTGATACAAATAGTCTTCAAGGCAGATTAATGTATACTTTGAGGAAGTTAAAAAACCACCATGTTTCAAGCCGTATTCAGGCATTTGTGCATGTTCTTCCACACTTAGTAATCATCACACTAATGAAAAAAATGAAAGTTCAGAGAGTTTAAATAGCTTGCCTGAAGAGCTTATGCCTATTAGATGATTAGAGCCAGAATTTGAAGTAACATCTGTCAAATTCTGGAAGGTCAGGTAGGAGAGAATCTTCAGTCAGGAAGCATTACATAGCATTCATTACAGGTCTGAGATAATGAGAGATTTACCCAGTGGAAATGGGAAAAGAGAAGATAAAACTAAGAATATTTTTAAGATAAATTTGTTGACTGTCTTTAGAGAGTGAGAGAGTGAATGGATCAGACAAGATATTGAAGCTTTACTTAATGGATAGCTGTTGAGTATTCCAGTGCTTTGTGATGGTTAGTTTTGGGGTGAGAGTGACATGAAGGACCAGGGATATGAATGGAATGCTGTCTGATTTGGGAATGTAGAAGTCATTAAGCATTTGAACAGTAAAGATACAGAAAGATTGGAGGATTTGAGAGTCCTTGCAATAATGGTAGTTGAAGGCTTAAGAATGAAGTTTTCTAAAACTTAGGAGAAGAGTAAAAGACTTTGAAGGGTAGTAGTGTTTATAATTTGTATATGATACATCTGTCCAGTTATTTTTATGACTGCTTATCTAAGCTTCTGGAAATCAGCATTGGCAAGAGTATTTTCTACATTTCCATGTGACATCTTTGACAAGTGGATTATTTTCCTTTTTTTTTCTCTATAAATTGTGGGATAGGGAGCTCTAGTGGTTTCATGGTAAGGAATTCATTGACATCCCAAAGGTATGTGGTTCAAGTCCTCCAGCTGCTCCTAATGGACAGTATCCTCTCCCATGATTGACAGCCTCTGAAAACTCAGTGGACAGTCAGACATGAGTAGGTTCTAAAAAACAGCACATAACAACAAGTGGAATAGATACCAATGAATTTTAGTACATAACCAGATTTCTCCAAAAGAACAGGTATGTTCTCTAATGCACAATTTGTTTTCATGATCTAACTCCAGTATATTTTTTTGTAAATGCTCTTAAAAACAGTTTTTTGATTCATGTATTTTCAATTTGATTTATTTCCGTGAATTTACATTTAAAAGTTTATGGCTATTGGACAAGGTGGTTGTTGTGGTTGAGTGTCTTCGAGTCAAACACGACTCATAGCCATACTATGAACAAAAGGCCTGAAGCCCCTCTACAACATTTATCAACATTCATAGAGTTTCCGGAGGCATGTTATTTAGGAAGTGGATCCCTATTGTCATAGAACTCAGTTCACCTTCATTGCCATTTTGTCAGTTTCTTCTCATCAAGCTCTTGATGGTTTATCAAGGCTGTAAATCTTAATGGGAGGACACTGCTCATCTTTTTCCCACAGGGCTGCTGATAAAGTCTAAGCACTAAAGACTCACAGCCTCTTGGTTAGCCTTATAACACTGTGCACCACTCCACCAGAATTTATGGTAGAAAATGCTAGCATGTTCTGTGCTTTCTTTGGTATGCTTATTTTTCGTTGTTGTGTTGTTGTTACATGCCATCCAGTAAACTGCAGCTCCGAAAACCCTAACAGGGGATCTGAACTCTGCCCTTTCCTGTCCTATCCACATAATCTCTGACACACTTGAGCCCATTGTTACAGTCATTGTGTTGAGGGTCCATCTCGTTGAGGGTCTCCCTCGCTTTTTCTGATTCTCCACCTTTCCAAGTATGGTATCTTTTCCCAAAGATTGACTTCTCCTAAAACAAGCCCAAAGTTTCATCATCCCTGCCTCTAGGGAGCGCCCTGACTACTCTTTCTCCAAGACATACCTGTTTGGGGTTTTTTTGCAGTCCATGGACTTTTCTGTTTTCAAAAGCATCAATTCTTTAGATGTAATAACAAGTAATTGAAAAGACCATGGCTTGGACCCAGTGCACCTTAGCCTTTAAAATGACATTATTGCTCTTTAGGACTTTGGAGAGGTCCTTGACAGATTTTCTCAGTGCAACACATCTTTTGATTTCTTGACTCCTGATATCATGGGCATTGAATGTGGATCTTAGTAAGATGAAATTGTTGACAATTTCCATCTCCTCTGTGTCTGTCGCCGATTTACACAGTGGTGAGGACTTTTGTTTTCTTGATGTTAAGGTGTTTATTTATCATCATAGTCTTTGGTATACATTTATCAATAATTTGTCTATTTTAATCCTCACTTTATAAGCAACAACAGCCTTCAGTTTCAATTACTTGAACTTTGATTGACTGAACTTTAGGTTGTTTTGACTCTCGTGATATTTTAAATTAAAATTATTATTAGTAATTATAGTTGTATTTTTTATCATTGTGTAATACTTGTGCTACTAACTGTAAGGTAGGTGATTAGAGTCTAAGCTACTCCATGGGATAAAGATGAGGCTGTTTCTTCCTTGAAGATTCATGGCCTCAGAAATCCAGTACAGTGTGGCCATGGTTGGAGTCTACGCCACTGCAATATTTAGACTGTGGTTAAAAAGAAATCTAGCTGACTTAGAAAAGTCTGTCCTCATTGCTGTTTTGTTGTGGGTTTTCCCCTCAGGACGAAGATGAGCTGGATTCCCACACGATGGTGAAGACGAATTCAGAGGGTGTGGGAACAATGCGGGCCACGAGCACGATGAGTGAGGGAGCCCAGACCATGATTGAGCACAACAGCACAATGTTAGAATCAGACTTAGGCACCATGGTTATCAACAGTGAAGATGAGGAAGAAGAAGATGGAACTATGAAAAGTATGTATTATTTTTTTCCATGAAATAAAAATTTGAAGGTATACTTCTGCAGAAACTAAAACTAGTTCTGTGCTACTTTGTTTAGTCAGTTGTGGAAAAATTTATTTCTTGTCATTAACAGTTGTTTTTTTTTAATATGGCAGAAACAAATTTTAAAAAATATTTTACTACAGTGAGGCACATATCTTTAACTCAAGGCTATAGAATGTTATTTTCTACTTCTAATCTGTAACTTAATTTGTAAAGTATTTTAGAAAGAAAAAGAGTTCCCAGCATTTACTTTTCCAATTATAAAAGTGAACCTAAAATTCTTTTCTAGTAAATGGAACGTACGATTATTCCATGTTGCCTAAATTATTGGTTAAGCCCCAGTGACTGAGCAGCACAAGTGGAAGGAAGAAATAAGGGCTGGGGAGGGAAGGAAGAAACACTTGAAAGAAGTTTCATGATCCTGGGATGCTTATCCAGAAAATTCATGTGGAAGCCTCATTACCGGTACCTAGCACATGGAAGGCACAAGTAATATGCCAGGGGACCCTACCAGGGCTGTGGTGATGACAATATTCCCTCTGGCCTCTGAGGATAAAGACACAGAAAATTTTATAGACAACCGGTCGTTTTTAAATAGCTTTTTAAAATATTGTCATTAACAATGCATGCATGCTAGTGTGATTTCAAAAATAGATGAATTATCACCTCTTGGTATCTATTGACTTCTCTTTCCTACTTAGTGATAATATGGTCAGTGTCAGAGTCCAAGATTATTTTCCACCATGCACTACTGCTTCTAAATGCGGCAAAAGTAGTGTATATAACTTCCCATTGGAACTCTGTTGGTTTAGCCTTTAGGGAGTTAACACGGCTAACTGGTGCCTCTTTGTCAGTTTGAATCCACTAGCAACTCCTTGGGAGATAGGTGGGCACTTTCTTCCCATGCAGTTTATAGCCTCCAAAAAACCTGCTAGTGGGTCAGCTGGTCAGCTGTGAGTTGATTCTGACTCAGCAGCAAGAAAAGTTTAATCATTGTAGAGCCTAGAGAGTTCTAACTATTCACATGATTTGCTAGTGAAATGACCATCCCACTTCCACTAGCATCAGACTGGCTTCGTCTCACCATGACCCTCCCAACCCTCCACAGGGTTTCTGAGGCTGTAAAGCTTTATGAGAGGAGACTGCCCATCTTTCTCCACAGGTTACTAGTGGGTTTGAATTGCTGATCTTTGGCTCATTGGAGCAGCCCAGCTCAGGGATCCTTGTAAGGTGAGTGTAGGAAGTTCTGTTTTATTTTTGTCTATTTCTCATTTTTTTGCTACTACTCCTGTGTTTGTGTTTGTTAGATTTTTTGATAAGCAGTGTTCTGCCTCAGAGCTTTGAGTCTCTTGGCTCACGGATGCTTCTTTCTTCACATGTCCTAATAAATAGCTCATTATTCTTGTATAGGGATCGCTGGTGGCATAGTGTGTAGGTGAATACCCTGCTAACCCAAAGGCTGTGCCTCTTTGGTGGCTTGAATTCACCAGCAGCTCCTTGAGAACAAAAGATAGACAGACTCTTCCTGCTGCATTTACCGCCCCAGAAACCCAATGGTGGGACAGCTGAGTCAGTTCCAACTCAGTGACAGGGACAGAGAGATGATTGTATAATTTGAAAATAGAGAGTCAAACACAAAATGCAAACTGATTTCTACGTGTGTAGTCCTAAGAAAGTTGTGAATGTTTTCTTTTTTTAGTCTCATCAGTGGTGATTTTCTTGCATTTTGGCCCCAGAAAACAGCATTAGCCTTGAATTTCTTCAAATTCTTAGTCAGATGTTTAGTTGAAATAGGCCTTCTGCAGAAATTCATAACAAGCTGTACTCAACTGCTGGTGGTCTTGTGGCTCAGAAAGCCAGTTAGCATTTAGGATACTAATCCTGAGTTCCACAGATTAAAACTCCACAAGATCAGATAATTTGCAGCACATTTCCCTTCAGCATGTTGGATCAGCTAGAATGATGATTTCCCCCCTACACCAGATAAAACTCTGAGTCAAACTTACAGGATTCTCATCAGACCAATTAGAAGATTATTGAGTGATTTGCTGTGTCACTAGTGAGTTCTTTCAAAGCTCTGTAAGAAACTTGGTCTTTTCAGTCTTATAAGCGAACACCAGCATTGTAACAGTAGTTAAGAAAATGAGCTCATAAAATCACATTATAGTGTATGTAATTCATGCTCAAGAAGAAACACCTCTTTGCTGTGGAGCTGGAACCAACTCATAGATGACCATTTGCTGGGTTTCAGAGGCTGTAAATCTCATAGGAGGAGATTGCCTATCTTTCTTCCAAGGAGCTCCTGGTGGATTCAGACTGCCAAGGAGGCATGGCCTTTGGATTAGGAGTACAGCTCCCTATAGACTACTCCATGAGAGTGTCCTTAATTCATGCTAAATTATTGTATTTCAAGGAATAGTAATGATAAATAATCAGGCTTCACATATTAAGCTGACAAAGTACATGTCCACTTCTTTTGTGTAGTAACTTAATTTTAACAACAGAGAAACCACTCAATATATGCTAAAATTATATATCCTGAGTATGAATTTTTTTAAGGTCATAGATTTTGTTGAAAGCTCATTTTTATATGAGTATATCATGGTTTATGTATTTCCACTTGTTTTATATGCTTCAGCAAGTCTTAAATCCCACGAGCCAACTTTGCATTTATCTTAAATCTATAATTTAGACATCATCCTTCAATGCTCCCCCAAAATCTGTTCATATGATATTAATGCAACCGCCAGGGATTGTCATACTATAGCATAGCAGCTGTAAAGTATAGGAAGAAGTTACTGTGGCATGACTTGCTTGCCTGAAACCACGCAGTTCTTTTTCGTTGTAGTTTTCCTTGTGATCTAAAACTACTTTAAGATTTCTTAGTTGGTTTAAAGACTCAGTTTATGTCTCATCAGTCACAGCTTCATTTGTTAATGTGTCCCTAGCATTTTTCTTTTTTTTCCTGCCTAAAAATATTATACAAGTATACAAACAGTTTCTTCCTAGAGAGTGTGAGACCAGGCTGTTCCTTGGAAGAAAGGATTCTGAAGCTTCCTCTAACATACTTGGACATGGTGCAAGGCAGGACCAGTCCTTAGAAAGAGACAGTCATGCTTGGGAGGGTGGAGGGACAGCTCAGGAGAACAAGGCCCTCGATGAAATGGATTGATTCAGTGACTGGAGTAATAGGGGTAGATGTGTCAGAGACAGTAAGATTGGCACAGGACAGGGAAGGGATTAGGGCTGTTGTACATATGGTTGCTATGAGTTGCAGGTGACTTGATGGCATATAATGATAACAACAGCATAATACTTTTGAGTTTATAGAATCTTTAGAATGCTATATTGTGTGCTGAAGAATCTGATTTTCATCTCCTTTTCCACTGGAGTTTCAAATGAAAAGCCTGATTGAATATTCCTGTCAGCTTAAATTATGGTTAAGTTTTCTAATACTTTTAGCCATTAAGGTAGAAATTACAAGCCTGTTTTCATTACCTCGTCAACACTCTTGGCACCAGCAGCCAGGAAATTAAAAGACGTATTGCAATGGGAGAGTCTGCTGTTAGGGACCTCTCCAAAGTTCTGAAGAGCAATGATGTCACTCTGGAGGCTAAGGTTTGTCTGATACAGGCTATGGTCGTTCCAGTCACTTGTTATGCATCAGAGAGTTGGACAATGACAAGAGAGAAAAGAAGGAGAATTGAGCTGTGGTGCTGGAGAAGACTGTTGAGTGTACCAGGGACTACTAAAAAGACAAACAGATTCATGCTTGAGAGTGTTAAACTCGGCTACTTCTTGGAGGCAAGCATTCTGGGGTTTTATCTGAAATACTTTGGACATGTTGTAAGGAGGGACTGGTCTTTGGAGAGGGACATTATGCTTGGTAGGGTGGAGGGACAGCGCAGGAGGGGAAGACCCTCTATGAGGTGGATTGATTCAGTGACTGGGGTAATTGGGGTGGGTTTGTTGGAGACAGTGCAATTGGCACAGGACAGAGCAGGTTTTAGGGCTGTTGTACATATTGCTATGAGTTGCAAGCGATTCGACGGCACATAACAACACCATGAAACATGATGATCTGATTGTAGGAAGCAGAATTATTAAAAAATTCTTTTCAAGTAGAAAAAAGTAGCAATTTTTGTTTTTGTGGGGGTTTTTTGTTTTTTGGTTGTTTTTTTTCCCCAAAAAAGTCATCTACTCAAAAATCAAACAGACCATGAGGTCTGAGAGCATGTTCCAAGGAAGAGCTTTCAAAACCTGTCCTCCTGGCTTTACACCTCTTCCTTAGATATCTCCGGGACCTCCTTATTAATGTGCAGACCTCAGCTTAGAAATCATTGTCTTTCAAAGTTTAAGACCAGTCAGTATCTATACATGTATCACCACTTCTTCCTTATAAATTATACATTATATTCATCAGTAATAGTCCGTGTCATTTGGAATTATGAGTGGTTGACAATGGCTCTTTGTACTTTGGTTCTAAGGAAGTCAGCATTTGGAAATTTTTGGTGTTAGGACTTGCTAAGAAATAAGTTGCCTTAGACCTGGCCTCACGGCCAGGTGAGAACATGTAAGTAAAATGAACCATTGAGGCTCCATCTGCCACCCTTAGCTTTCCTGGTATGTGGTCTCCAGCTGCCTCAACTACACACAAGTGGTTCACTGTTGGTCAGTGTCTTCAACATCATTAACAGCTGGGAGACCAATATAAGAAAGTACAAACCAGACTGTAGGGAAACTGTGGCAAGGTGAAGCCAGACAGAAAGTTCCTTTATTGCTACTAACTGAGAAGCTGCCTGGAATAATGGAAGAACTGTAACTTGCTGTTGAATTAGAAGTTGTCTAAATTAGTTGAGGAATTGTGCCTTGATATTAACCTGGCTTGAGACTATTTACTGAAACTGGACTTTAACTATGTGATATCCTTTACCTCCATCAGCCCCACCCATTTCCATAATAAATCCACA